GGTGGGGGAGTGGCGGGGCGGGATGGGGCGAGGGTGCCCCATTCCGAACCCGCCCCATTGCGATCTCTAGACCGAACTGACCACGAACCGAACCGATGCCATCTTCACCCCATCCCGAACCCGCCCCATTGCCATCTCTAGATCGACCCTGAACCGAACCGCTGCCATCCCCGTGGGCAGCCATCCCTACCTTACATAAAGTGGAGTGACTCAGGTAATTAATCCCTCTCCACCGCTTCCATCAAATACAAAAACACCCACATAATCAGTTCATCAAGAAACCGTAGACTGCTCAATTCAAGAACGACGACTTCAGTAATTCTTTCAAGTTTCTCATAATCCCTTGAAACTGATGCAAGTATTTGCTCAAACACAAACAACCAAGAAGTGGGCAATTTTTTTTACGCTAAAGCTCTAAAATTTGTCCAACAGTTCAATCCGTAAATCGCCGTAGTAGAAGCGAGATCTTCAACAAGATTTATACTCTCTTGAGCTTGATCAAGTATTATACAGAGGCTGTCATCCTGTGGTACAGTACACATACTTCTAATTGAACTTCTAAGCATGGACTCTATTTTTTTTTTTTTAATTATTTTTGCATTATGCGACTAGGTTTTTTTAATATGCATATGTGTAATAGATCTGTACTTGCATATACTATCTATTCGTTTTATTTAAGAAGCAAAATTAGAATTAATTTTTTACTTCGTAAAAGAATTTTAGAACCCAAATAATTTGAATTTTACTCTTTAAATGTAAACAGGGAATATGTTCATTCCATTATGGAAATTGTTTGAGCTAGAAACAACATTTTTATGTTAAATCAAGGTGCAATTGCAGGAGCACGTGGTTCTGGCATTTTATATAGTACCTAATGTTTCAGATTTATGTGGAAAATTATACAACAAGCCGTGTTTATCTGATCTCAACGAATTGCAACGTGATTAGTTACAAGCAAAACAACCCCAAGGATAGTGAAGCACCAATCCACTTACCATTTTTTTTAAGGATCACCAAATTTCAAATTTGCAGTCCACTTGGGGAAATTATTCTGACTTATTTTGTATCAGTGTCTCCGATGCTTGTAAAGTAAGATTGTTTTTATGTTTTTAGTAACCAAAGAGGTACAATAGTAATTTCTCTAATTCCTACTTGCCAGTGTTAAAAAAAAAAATGCATGACTTTGAAGAGAACATATGGGAAAAAGTATATGTATGGGGGTATTACGTGTAAAAGTAACAATATGAGAAGGTATATGAGTGAGTCTTTATTTTCAAGGTGGCTAATTAGTTAAGGAAGTAGATTGGAAAATATCTATGAAAGTGGAAAATGATCCACTGCATGTCAATTTATAATTTTTAAAGCACGATTTGAAGATAGTGACATCATTTTGTGATAGTAATTGTTATTTTATCCCAAAAAATATAAAATGTTCTTTTATAATGCATGTTGAGAGAAACAATTTGTCATTTAGAAGTCTTAAACATTTCCTGACTGTCCATTCATATAGTAAATACTAATACCCCATGTTATAGTAAGCAAATATTGTGTTACTCTTCGTGGATAGCAAAGTTGGGCAAAATGCCTATATTTTGTTCAAAGTATACTATGATAGTCCGTGTACGTTCGGCTTAAGAAATGCTTTTGTATTGTTCTCTCTTTCTACCCTTTAATGCCCGTGCTTGCATAAGCATCTTCAATATCTATTTTTAGGTTTGGTAGATCCAAGATCCCTTGACTTTTGGGTTTTTTATCTTCTTGATTTCAATTCTTTATTTTTTATTCAATGCTATCAAAAAACTTCGCTTTTGCTTTTCATCGATCTTATTATTTTGATTTTCATTACTGTTTTAAATTCTAATCCAATTTAAAACAAGTTATTTGCTTAAACTCTTGCTTTAGTATTTTTTTTTTCATTTATCCCCATCCAATCGATAAATATTTCGGGGGATGTTGGTGGATACGTTTCGACAATCATATATTCATATGATAAAAATATTTTTTAGTTATTCGTTTGATGATTATTAGTAACAATATGAGTGTTTTGATTACTGTTGGCATCAATTATGATCCTGGCTTTAATATCAACTTTTTGTCTAAGGTCAAAATTGATAATTTTTCAATCCAGATATTTTTAATCCGGTGCTTTTTCCATTTATTGAGTATTCCCCTCTCCTTGATAATTATTGATAGGGATACTCCTCAACATATTAAACAAGTATCTTTACATAATCCACACACCCACACATATGTGTTCACAGAAGCCTATATATTGAGTCATCAATCTTGTTAAGAGAAGTAGCTTACATTTATTATTTTTATATTTATGTAATGTGGGATTGTTTACTCGTCTTAGAATCTAAGTGCTCATTCGAACTTTAAATGGTAGAGTTGCTCATTTGACGTCAATATTTACATCTATACACCTTGATAGATACTTTTATTTTACTCATTTGAGATTTTATGTTTACACTACAAGAATGATAACTGCACTTCATTTCCAGCTAACTGATTACTATGCAAATTTTGAGCCAGTTGGGTGCATATAGTTTGACTAAATGACGAAACTAGGATTTTATGACATTGCGGGTTGTAGTTTTGATGGCAGCTTAGCTTTTTAATTCCAAATTTCATTTTCTTTGTATTATATATTGATTTGAATAAACTGCCCGATTTTAATTTTGCTGGAGAAGGTAAATCTTTCAAGTATTTTCTGCAGGACATTTCTTACAAGCACCTTTGTAATACATGAATGTTTAATGTTTAAGTACTGTTGGGCATCAAATTGCACAGGATTTGAAGGATGGGATGAGGAAGATA